TCAGCTTCAAGGCTCTAGTCACAAGCAATAGGACCAAAAACTTACATTTTTAAATGACAACTGAGATTATCCATTGCATTTCCACTTACCCCAAATCCAGGGGCTGGTGGCCACAGACTTCATAAGGGCCTAACAATTATATGGAAAGCAGAGTCTCCAATTAGGGCTATGAGGGAAAGCAGAGATTAAAAAGATGGTGTAGAGTGGGATGGAAGTATGGATGGACTCAGCCTTTAAAGGTTCTCATAGATCCCCTAATTTCTTAGCTATAACCAAGGCCTGGTCTGTACTTAAAAGTTAAGTCAAGATAGCTACAGTACTCAAGGATCTAAGAACACTTCTGTCAACTTCGCTACTGTTGCTGGGGTGGTGGTGTCCCACAGCATCTGAAAAACACCTTCTGTCACTGTAGAAAGCATCTGTGCCATGATACTACAGCGCATTGTTAGGACACCATAGCTGTGCCGTTGTAATGCCCAGAGTGTAGACATGCACATCTGTATTTTCTCTTCCTGCAGCTCTCCTGCACTTTATAAGCAAAAATAGCCTCCCTAATGCAGGCCATGATAATCAGTAAAAGCGATAAGGAGTCCTGTGGCACCTTATAGACTAACAAATGTATTGGAGCATAAGCTTTCATGGGCAAAGACCCACTTCGTCAGATGCATGTAGTGGAAATTTCCAGAGGCAAGTGTAAATATGCAGGCCAGAATAAGGCTAGAGGTAACGAGGTTATTTCAGTCAGGAAGTGCGAGGCCCACTTCTAGCAGCTGATGTGGAGGAGTGAACACCAAGAGAGGAGAAACTGCTTTTGTACTTGGTTAGCCATTCACAGTCTTTCTTTAATCCTGAACTGATGGTGTCAAATTTGCAGATGAACTGTAGCTCAGTGGTTTCTCTTTGAAGTCTGGTCTTGAAGTTTTTTTGCTGCAGGACGGCTATTTTTAAATCTGCTACTGTGTGTCCAGGGAGACTGAAGTGTTCTCCTACAGGTTTTTGTATATTGCCATTCTTAATATCTGATTTGTGTCCATTTATTCTTTTATGTAAGGACTGTCCAGTTTGGCCGATGTATATAGCAGAGGGGCATTGCTCGTACATGACAGCGTATATTATATTGGTAGATGTGCAGGTGAATGAACCAGTGATGGTGTGGCTGATCTGGTTAGGTCCTGTGATGGTGTCACTGGTATAGATATGAGGGCAGAGTTGGCACTGAGGTTTGTTGCATGGATTGGTTCCTGAGTTAGAGTTACTGTGGTGCAGTGTATAGTTGCTGGTGAGAATTTGCGAGGACTGACTTGCCTCCCAAGGCCTGTGAAAGTGAGGGATCATTGTCCAGGATGGGTTATAGATCACTGATGATGCGTTGTAGAGATTTTAGCTGAAGACTGTAGGTGATGGCCAGTAGTGTTCTGTTAGTTTCTTTCTTGGGCTTTTCTTGTAGTAGGAGGCTTCTGGGTACATGGCTGGCTCTGTTTATCTGTTTCCTCAATTCCTTGTGTGAGTATCGTAGTTTCAAGAATGCTTGGTGGAGATCTTGTAGGTATTGGTCTCTGTCTGAGGGGTTGGAGCAGATGCGGTTGTACCTTAGTGCTTGGCTGTAGACAATGGATTGTGTGGTGTGTCTGGGATGGAAGCTGGAGGCATGAAGGTAGGCATAGCGGTTAGTAGGTTTTCAGTATAGGGTGGTGTTTATGTGACGGTCACTTATGTGCACTGTGGTGTCCAGGAAGTGGATCTCTTGTGTAGACTGGTCCAGGCTGAGGTTGATGGTGGGGTGGAAGATGTTGAAAGCATGGTGGAATTCTTCCAGAGTCTCCTTCCCATGGGTCCAGATGATGAAGATGTCATCAATGTAGCATAGGTAGAGAAGGGGCATTAGTGGACGAGAGCTGAGGAAGCATTGTTCCAGGTCAGCCATAAAAATGTTGGCATATTGTGGGGCCATGCGGGTGTCCATCATGGTGCCACTGGTTTGGAGGTATATATTGTCACCGAATCTGAAATAGTTGTGTGTGAGGATAAAGTCACGGAGTTCAGCCACCAGCTGTGCTGTGGCATCATCAGGGATACTGTTCCTGACAGCTTGTGTTCCATGTATGCGTGGGATTAGATATTAGGAATGGCAATATACAAAAACCTGTAGGAGAACACTTCAATCTCTTAAATCCCCCGCGGATTTGCCTATTCCAAAGTGCTACATTAGCATCCCTTTTCCGGAAAGGGGTGCCAATGTAGACACAGCCTATCAGTTTAGGATTAAAGAAAGACTGTGAATGGCTAACCAAGTACAAAAGCAGTTTCTCCTCTCTTGGTGTTCACTCCTCCACATCAGCTGCTAGAAGTGGGCCTCGCACTTCCTGACTGAAATAACCTCGTTACCTCTAGCCTTATTCTGGCCTGCATATTTATACCTGCCTCTGGAAATTTCCACTACATGCATCTGACGAAGTGGGTCTTTGCCCACGAAAGCTTATGCTCCAATACATCTGTTAGTCTGTAAGGTGCCGCTGGACTCCTTGTTGCTTTTACAGATCCAGGCTAACACAGCTACCCTTCTGATATCTGATAATCAGTGTTAACTATTGCTTTGTCTGTGCTCAAAAGTGCACCAGTTTATCTAAATTGTTTAAAAATTTAATTTAGTTAAATTAATGCAGACCTCTAATATGGACACTTTTAAATTAGTTCACATCGGGCTTATGTCAATTTAAGAAACTTTTGGCCTTCATGAACTAATTTGAGAGAAGCCAAGTGAATTTAAGCTTGTGCCAGTTTAACGAAATCGGGGTTCTCTACATTTCTATCACTATTCTTCATTGCATCATGACCCCCTTCTGACAACAAGCATTTCTACACAATTCCAGGAGGGGGGAACCAAAGCCTGAGTCCTCCCAAACCCCACTGCTCCAAATGGGACCAAAGCTGAAGCCTGAGGGCTTCAGCTCCAGGTAGGAGGTCTATAACCTGATCTCTCTGCCAGGGCAGTGGTACTTGGTTTTGGCTTCAGCTCCAGACTTCAGCAAACCTAAGCCAACCCTGGCAAGCCCATTAAAATGGGATTGTGACCCACTATAGGGTCCCGCCCTATAGTTTGAAAACCACTGAACCTAAACTGATATAAAAAAATCAAACTGTTGCAACTTATGTGTATAGACCACACCACACCTAAGTCTGCTTGTATGTATTTTGATGGTACTGAAGGATGTCCTCTGTCATTTGGGACAAAACATAAAGATTTTTTGCAAAATACATATATAACTATAGCTCTAAAGTGAATGAAAGCATAGCCTGGTAGGTTATAAGAGTGTATTTTATTGGATCAAGAGACATGCTTGAAACCTGCATTCATAAAAATCTCTACATTTTTTCTGTATATATAGTATGGTAGTACATTTCATTATACTACTAAAGTAATAGTTTGTCAGGACAGTAGTAATTTTATAATCGGAATTAAATTGACTGAAACTGATAGGAAAGAACTGTTCCCATAAAATTAATTTCCAGAGAGATTTTGACATTTTTGGGTGAAATGTATTTTGTCTGCCTCCATAATTTTTGAAAACAAGATTAAAATATTTCTTGCACAAAATATTTTTTCTTCATGATTCAGATGGAACACATTATTTCCCACAAAATGCGTACGTACTTGGTTTCTGGGTGAGAAGCGATGCCTCTTCCTATTAGAAAGTTTATTTTATTTTTTGAGGTCAATTTTTAAAATGAATGATTTGCAAATGCATTTTCAGATCTGTTAAGCCTGCCTATATAATATCAGATTAATCAAATAAATTATTTACCTTTTTGGCATTTGGCTATTAATTTATTCATAAATTATTTTTTCCAGCATTCATCCAGTCAGCAGTTGTAGTGCCTATGAATACATATGAATCCTGATCATGCAAAGATTTATGCTTTACACATATCAATTAGTTATTTAGGCAGACCTATAAGTTTTGAAAGGATCAAGACCATAGGTAGTAACAAAATATGGGCCTGGGCCTGCAGTTGGATCCATGTGGACAGAACCCTGTGCTTCTTCTAGTATTGGTTTCTATGCAACTATTTCATGTGTTTCCCTAATCAAATGTCATATTTTAATATCTTCTGTTAAAGGTGCCACCTTCATCTTAAAATCTAGTCAATCTCAAAGGAATTAGAAGCAGTTTCAAGTATCACTCCTACCCCATAGTTCCTTTATCAATGTTTGCAGTTTTGCAGATGTATTTTCTTGTTTTCAATATGCCTTTCTTTCCTCTATTGTTTGTACAAATTACCCACACAAAATACCCATAAACAAAAAGGGAAATTGACAAAAGCCCAGATTCAGTAGTTGGACCTACTTGCGGGGATCCAGTTTCAGGAACAAGGTCTGCCTATACAGAAGAAACAGCTAAATTAACTATATATAAAGCACAGTGAGTTCTGCGTTAGTGGATCCCTATGCATTGGAATCTCCACTGAATTCTTGGATCTCTGCATGGATTCAAGGGATTAAGAACAAAATGCTGTCAAGTGCACAAAATAAACCAAGTGGAAAAACTTTTTCTCTTTCAGTTATAATCCTTTTACATTTAATTCATTTTTTTAATGTAGTCTCCATGTTGTGTATGTTAATGTCTGTTAATTCTGCTCAAGCAGAGGATCACAAGTTGAGATATTTCAGGCAGATTAGTTGAATTCTGATAAGGATGGGGGAGAAGTCATAATCTTCGACAGATATATTGCTGTCTCTCTGTAATACTGTAGAAATGATCAATATACAATATTTACAGTTGTCTAACACTTTATCATTTTAGGAAGATTATGTAGCTGAACCAACAAATACAGTTTTCCTAGCATGTTACCAGTAGTTATCAACATCCACCTATCAGAGCTCCGTTCTAGTCATTTTAAACTCGAAAAGTAGCTTGTGTCTTGAACAGAGAATTGAAAGTTTGTACCAGTTATATATTTGGCAGTGCTGTGACAGAGGTTGGAATGCAAAGGGGTGTTAGTTCCATGCAATCGACTATAATGAACCATGTCTCTTGTATTTTCAGAGGCTGCACGAAGGAGTTGTCAGAGACCTTGAGAGACAAAGCCGTAAACTGGAAAATATTCGCCTTTTACAAGAACAGATTACTCTGACCAAGCAACTTGAAGCAGAGAGACACAAGATGTTAATGGAAAAAGAGTCCCAACAATCCTAGACTTAAACATGAAGTTTTAGAGTTGGGACTGAAGGACAGCAGGGATTTGTGTTTGAGTGTTCCTAGGTGTTTCAGGAAACGGAAGCTACTTCCATCACCTTTAGCTACCTAGTCATCAAGTCTAGGAAATTATATACATTAAGAAGTGTGTACGCAGAATTATTCTCTAACTTGAATATTTTCATGTGAGCAGAAATATAGTGTAGAAGGCTTCATACCTGGCTGGCTCACCTTATATGGGTGGTATTTTAAATGCTGGAGGGAGAGCCCCATGTAATGTAAAAAAATCCCTTCCTCTGCTTGCCAAGAAGGGATGGATAATAACGTTCACATGAGTGGACTGATGAGTCGGCACGATGACGAAGCTACAAGGACATCAACTTCAGAAGGGCTGGAGGAGGGTGAGGTGGAAGGAGAGACTCTACTGATTGTTGAGTCTGAGGATCAGGCTTCAGTGGATTTATCCCACGATCAGAGTGGGGACTCCTTGAACAGTGATGAGGGGGATGCATCCTGGATGGAGGAGATGTCCTATTACTGTGAGAAGTGTCAGAAGTGGATACCAGCAAGTAAGAGTCAAGATTTCCTCTGTTATCTCCATCTCTTGCGTTTTATGGGTTTATTTGTTCTTTTCCTCAGAGAAAAAAAAATATTATTTTCCTGAACATATGGGAGGCAGTGATGTGTAGTAGATAGAGCACCAGACTAGGGATCAGGAGACCTAGATTATATTCCCAGCTCTGCCACTGGTCTGCTGTGCCTGTGTCTGTCAGTTCCCCTTTCAATCTCTCAGGGTATGTCTACACTACAAAGTTAATTCGAACTAACGGATGTTAGTTCGAATTAACTTTGATAGGCGCTACACTCGCGCTCTGCTAATTCGAACTTAATTCGAACTAGCGGAGCGCTTAGTTCGAACTAGGTAAACCTCATTTTACGAGGACTAAGCCTAGTTCGAACTTACTAGTTCGAATTAAGGGGTGTGTAGCCCCTTAATTCGAACTAGTGGGAGGCTAGCCCTCCCCAGCTTTCCCTGGTGGAACTAGCGGAGCGCTTAGTTCGAACTAGGTAAACCTCATTTTACGAGGACTAAGCCTAGTTCGAACTTACTAGTTCGAATTAAGGGGTGTGTAGCCCCTTAATTCGAACTAGTGGGAGGCTAGCCCTCCCCAGCTTTCCCTGGTGGCCACTCCGGCCAACACCAGGGAAACTTGTCTGCCCCCCTCCTGGTCCCGGACCCCTTAAAGGGGCACGGGCTGGCTACGGTGCCCGTGCCAGGTGCAAGCCTGCCAGCACCCAGCTAAATTCACCACTAATTCTGGTCAATTTCATGGTCAGAGGGTTTTTAAATTTGTAAATGACATAATTCCAGCTATTAAAAGCTGAAATTTCACAGTACAGTATTATAATTATAGGAATCCTGACACAAAAAGGATTTGAGGGCCACAAAGTTATTGTAGGGAGACTGCAGTCCTTGTACCCTTACTTCTGTGCTGCTGCTGCTACTGCTGAAGGTAGCTATGGTATTGCTATATTTAATTCTGCACTGCTACTTGCAGTGCTGGGCCCTCAGTCAGCAGTTACTACTGTTAGGCTGCCCAGCCAGAGGCAGAGAAAGAGGGAGGAACAATCCTAGCTAAGCCTATCCACAAAAAAAGCTAAGAGTAAGTAGACCTCTATTCTCCTTAGGCCCTGAAAGCTAGGTTAACACTGTTGCACAGGGACTGTAGTGAAAAGGATGGGTGAAATGAAAAGGACATGGTGAAGAAACAGCCACAGGAATCTGTACAGATTGTGTGGGAAGGCAGAAGAGGAGCTAGTATATAAAATATGACCGTATATAAAATATGATGGCTATAAAAAGTCACTCTTAGAATCATAGTAGTCTGAGATGCAAGAGTCTTACTAGGTCAGTCTGTCCATTGTTCTTAAAAGGCAGACTATTCTTTCTTGCTTTTTAAAGATAGGTTTTAGTTACAAAATATAGATTTGGGATCCAGATTTTCTGTACGCCAACCTTTGGTATATATGGTTCCAGGCTTTGATTCAATATATTATGTCATGGATAATTTTGCAAATTTCAGATCCAGATCTGGGTTCCAATATTTTGTGTTTGGGTTGGGCTCAATTTTACCTGATAAATGACAGATATTTGATCCTATAGTTGATCCTCATCAAAAGACCAAGAAAAAAAATCCTTTTTGTTGTTACTGTAGTAAAACTCTATATTTTGATATATAGTAATTACAGTGCTATTGTGTGGAAAGTAATATATCAGTAAATGCATTAAGTATGGTCTAGAAATTGTCAATCATGAAACAGATTGCTGTGTCAAGATGACAGATTGTTGACCAGAGTGGAAATACTGTTGGAAGGAATTGAAGGGAAGTATACAATCTGATGGTATGAATAAGAAACAGAAAGAGAAGAACTGAAATTATGAGGAAGTAGCTCCTAGTTCAGGGGTGTCCAAACTTTTTTCAAAGAGGGCCAGATTTGATGAAGTGAACATGCGTGAGGGCCGACCATTTTGCCTGACATTCTTTGAACCATTAAAATTAAATGCAAATTAACTATTTTATGCAAAGTTTATTGCAAACGGCATACTTTTCATTTCGTCACATGGATGACAAATCTAAACAGGTGTTAAATCACTCTGCCTTTCATATCTGAAGGCCAGATGAAAAAAAATCCAAGAAGCTGAAATATATGTCAGGAACATTGTAAAGTACATTACATATTATTGGTAATAAAGGTTGTCTGTCAACTTTTAAGTTCAAAAAATATGAACAGGAACATAACACCAAGTATACATGTTGTGTCCAAATATATTTATAACTGATTTAGACCAACTGACATTAACTGAGATTTTACAATGTATTCATCTCAATACATATGGATTCGTTGGGGGCCATAAAAGATAGATATTGCCAAATTACCTGGGGGGCCGTATTAAACCGGAACACGGGCCGGACTTTGGACATGCCTGCTTTAAGCACAGCCCTCGGCTAGCCTGAGGCAGCAGATCCACGCTCTAAGTCCTCATCTGATGCCCTGCCGGCACTGCTTCCGGCCATCCTTAACCCCGGTTCAGGGTCCACTTAATGTGGACATGCTAGTTCGAATTAGCAAAACGCTAATTCGAACTAGTTTTTTAGTCTGAATTAACTAATTCAAACTAAGTTAGTTCGAATTAGCGCTGTAGTGTAGACATACCCTACGTTTCCCAATCTGTAAAACAGGGATAATGCCAGTTCCTTTGTAAGGAAAGGTGCTACATAAGAACTATTCTTATTTTCCTGATTGGTTTGCCATTTCAGTGGGCTGAGTAAATAGATTTTAGTCTTCTGTATATAAGAATGGTTCCATGGTATCCTGAATTTAAGATTAGTATTCACAGGACAATATAAAGCCAGTTCAGGTTGGACTTCCCTGGTCCAGCATCTTTGGGACCGGACCGGTCCCAGATGAGAGATTTTGCCAGACCTAAGGAGGTCAATTTTGGACCCCTGCCACTGGCCCCCCGGCCTGGCCGCTAGCCTCCTAGCTCCCCACCTTCTGCTGGCCCCGCTGCCCTGCCAACTTGCTGGGCAACCATTGCTGCCGGGGCTCCACCGGGCCACCTAGTGCTGGGCTGGGGCTCCGGGCAGCCACGTGCGCCACACCAGGGCTCCGTGAGCAGCCCTGCGTGTTGTGTGATTGAGCAGCCATGGGTGCGCCGGGCTCCCAGCCCCA